AAACCGATATGAGTAGGGATTGCCTACCTATACAGGTGTTAAGCAGCCCATTCTGATATTTGTTTGATTTTTTTTTTCAGTGTTTTAATTAGCCACAAAGGTAAGAAATTAGGTCACAAAGTTTTTATGGCACTCAGTACTATATTCTGAGCCCTTTCAGTGCACGTTGACTACATCTTCGGTGGTGCTAAGCAGCCACGTCATTTACGGTTTATATCGAGGTTTATATGATTGGGGTATCTAGCCTGTCGCTATGCGCAAAATGGTCAAATTATGGTTAACTGCTAATTTTGGGTAAAATGGGGAGGGGGTGAGGGGTGTATCTTTTTGGGGCATCAGTGGGAGGTAAATAATTAGGATTTGTGTGAGCTGAATTTTAGAGATGTACAAAGAAGACTCACTTTGAAGCTTGGATTCAGTGGGAACCAGTGTCCCGACGACGTAGTGCATGCATTTTCATCGCTTTCTTTTTTCAGATAACTTCACTGAAAAAACCGGACAAACTGTTTTTTTTCCTTTTCTATTTTAATTTTTTGCGAAAAACAGTGGTATAGGTCTGAAATTTCGAGGAATTATACAAAAAAGTAAAGTTGAGTCTTTTCCGAGATATTCACGATTTTCGAAATTTTTGCTTCCTGAACAATTTGTTTTTCTTTACTGATCCTTCTTCCTGCATGTTTTATTGTTGATGCGCTGACGCTGGGCCTTTTGAACTGTGATTTGAAGGAATTATAAATAAAAGCCTCATGAAGTTTGTTCCAGGTTTTATACAACTAACGTTTCTATTGCAGATTTTTTTATCACCGATAAATTACTGTTCACTTTTTCGCAGATTAAAAAATCTTCCTGATCCATACCTGCAATTAGTTTCACATTAATTTAGGGCTGATTTTCTCCAAATTTTGTTTATTTTATTTATTAAAATATAAGCCTTTACGAAAATGTTACTTGAAATGAAAATCGAGATCTCAACCTTCAATAAAGACGACCGTCACGTGGTTACTATTTTGCAAAAAGATAACATTTACTTTCTGCAGTAACTTCTTCACTACTGGTAGAATTTTGTCCTACCCTTGTCGCCGTCTAATTCTAATATCTAAACTGCTCCCATTGTAATTTGGATAAATTAGTCCAACGGTGTATTACAAATGGAATTATAATTTCTTTTAGAGAAAGTAATTTTTGCTTGGATATTCGTACTACTTCAATAGTCGAGTTACTGTGACAATTTTTTCCTACTTCTTACGCTCCAAATGTACCTACAGTTTAATAGTGTTTATCCCCAAATGAAATTTTAAATTACTACACAACATACAGGAAGTTATTTATAATACAAACTTGGGAGTTTAAATATTTGTAATTTCATTGAACTTGTGGGCACGTAAACGTGATGAACTTCTTAATTAGGTAACTCCGCAAGTATTTTTACATGCTACATAAAAACACCGCAATATAAGCAAAATTATACTTTTAAACAAACCATAGGAGTGTTTCTAAACGGACCGTTTTATGTCATGTCATCTTAGCGGTATTATTCTAGTACGGTTAAAGTAATTGATGTTCTTTCTACCGCGATTCGTGTCCAGATTGTTGGCCAACCATTTTGATTTAAAAATGCGGAAATTGGCAAGTATTTCATCGGGTATTTTATGTACCGATTCACTTTTCCTTTCCGAATTTAATCAACCAAAAACTTTCAATGTTTTCTAATTCCCTGTCGTTGCCTATTAAAATGATATGGTTGGAAGTATTAATTTCCCAAAAGTATGACATTATCAAAAGCATTCAATCTCCCTGATTACAATTGTGAAAAAAATGACCTTATAATGATAATGAGCGGCTTATTGCCAAACTTTCTGGCATGTTTCGTTTTACTTCCCATTTCTCACGCATTTACATGAAACATGCGATTTTGCTTTCTCTTTCCAAGTCTTTTACCTTAATTTGACTATATGAGAAATGGTTTTTAATGATTTTTTTTAATTGCCTACGTCAATCCTCCCTTTACAAATCTAAGACGGCCTCATTTACCTGACACATTGGTCCAATCCTCAATTATTTTAATGCATTCTGCAAGCCATCAATCTGACAACATCAAGGAACTCTTCTACGAGCTGTATCCGAAATGCGTTAGTAGAATAAACAATCTTACGCAAATCCGCGGTTTGGTAGTGTGATGTAATTAAAATTTGCGGTTTTTTTAATGCAATACTTATAGTACCTACGTTTACCATGAGAAAAGAAAAGAATCATCTCTAGGAACCAAGTTGGGTATTTTTATTGTCGAGGAACTGTCGTAATCGATTATCAATATCACAAAGACTAAAAATGTCGCAAGTCGAATCAACCACCGTTTAGCCATTAGCACCGGACGTGGAGCCGGTAGAATTTCAAATATTTTGAAATGAACGCTATATAAAAAAGAATGTGCCCCCTCCAAATTGCTAACACCAGGATGGAACCCCCGAATTTGTTGTTAATTTGACAAAGTTGTGTAATTGTTTGAAATTCTTCCATTTGAGAAACGAATTAATTGTCCTACTTATCATTAGCAGCACATCCGTTCTTCATTGTGGCGTTTGAATTGCGTATTCAAATCTAGTACGGTAAGTAAGGGTATTTGATTTTTAATTTTCCACTAAAACTAAAACACTCACTCTTGCGAAAAATGAAACCGTTTCACTTTAGTGTCGTAGAACAGATTTATAAAATCGTAAAAAATTTCCTAATATAGTTCTAGTTCCGGTATGATGAATTGGGTAAATAGAGCAAGTCAATCATTAGTATTTAACTTGTAAGCGCACAGACGTAATTAGTCAGCCTTAAAATATTTTTTTACGTAAATATAGGTATAAATAAACGTGATTTGTTAAATTATTTCAAGGCTAGCACGTTCAACTACTGTTATTGTTTCACGAATCATAAATGAATAGTTATGTGCACTGATAACGGAACCTTGAATGACTTATTTTAGGGCAAAAATCGTGCACTTAAACTGTAATGAATTATAATGATAAGCAGAAGCTGTAAAAATTAACTTACTCTTCAGCTTCACTATATAATAAATTTCTTTCAGTAATACAGGGGACTCATTACATAGGTAACAAATGAATTTTTTGAGAGTTTGAATTCCCTAATTTTAATACGTTGACTCATTGAGACCACAATGTTGCATAGGGCATCAGCTTGTATGTCTTTTTGAGCATACCCCTTTCGATAACGTATTATTCATTGAAACTAAACACAAACTTTTTAATCTCTATATAAAGGCGTGTCTTATCGGGGAATAGTTTAAATATAGCAAGCGTAAAGCTTATTATTGTTTCGTTCAATTTCTCCGTGTTATACAGGCTGATTCAAATTCGACAGCCACCATGGTGATCTCGGGAACTGGAAGAGACAGGTAGGTAGTTTAAATTTGGCAAAGCTGCCTATTTTGATGCTTAACAAAATGCAGTTTTGAAACTAAAAATATTCCCTCTCGTGATGGGATATAAATAATTCCTTATATTTCAAGAAGTTGTCGGAGAATGGTACTCACAAAGGGCGATTGGGGCCGGGGAGGTCTGGAAGAAATATCTCAATTGGTGATGTCAAAACTTTACGAACGAATATCTCGAAAACCATACGGCTAAGAAATGGGTGAACAGTGCAGTACGAGCTCCAAGCCAACACCTTAAAGACTTGTTCCAAATGAAAAATCACTTTCCAGAATTGCCCATATATATAACGCAGCGAAGCGTAATCATTTTTTACTAGTCAACAATACTAAAAAGGCCTACTTTCAAAACCAAATACTAAGCTCGGATAATGCGGCAAAGCAGTATGGTCTCATAGTCAATGCCATAACAAATAAAACTACACGCGCGAAAGATAACATAATGATAGATAATAATGGGGTAATAATCCTGCTACCAATTCCGATAGATTCAACACATTCCTCGATACGTTCTTCAACAGCGCTCCTTCTAAAATCCTAGAGAAAATTGACAAACAAGGTAATTCACTGTTTAACATATCCTTGTCACTTAACCAATCAATTCTACTGCTTCCGTTTAACACCGGTGAGGTGCTAAGCGTATTTAACAATAAGATAAAGAAGAAGACCTCATTTGGTCCGGATGGCGTCCCGCAGTTCTTAATCAGAAAGGTTTCTACCGCAATTGCTGAACCTTTAGCGCATATAATTAACCTATCTTTTCAAACAGACAGATTTCCAATGGTATTAAAAACCATAGTATAAATCCTACTTTAAAGAAAGGAGAGCCAAAAAACATGGAAAACTATAGGCCCATTCCAATGTCTTCTGTCTTTTCAAAAGTTATAGAGTACTGCTTCTTAACACGGCTACAACATTTTATACATAAATGTAAGATTTTGTCGCCCACTCAATTTGGTTTTCAACCCGGTAAATCCACAAATGATGCTTTACACTCCTTTTACGGAAAGTTAATTGAACATATGAACGCGGGCGAATGTCCTATCGAGATTTTCTATGACCTCAGTAGGGCTTTTAACAGTGTACATATTGACAGACTGTTACATAAACGGGAAAAATATGGAATTAGAGGGGTAGCCTTCTCTCCACCTTCGTCGCGAACAGNTTGATTATTTTCTGTTTAAATTTCGTGGTATGACAACTTACACAACTCTTCCACTGCATAATCAACCCAAGTTGAATACTTTGACAAGAAACGACCAGAAAAAATATTTTTAGAGTTTTTTTCTTTCTCATCGAAATTATGAGTCTTGTAAACTGATCTATTTTGCAATTAAAATTAGTATACCTAGTTCCACAGAGAATTAAGAGATAGGTTTTAGATCCAAGTAATTCTCTTGAGTCCGTACTATGATGGTTTCTGTGTTTTTCCTATTTGATTTATTGAAACTAACCAAGCAATAAATTATAAAATATATAGAGAAACTACCATTTAAAATAAATTATACCTATCTTCATATCATTATGTGATAGCGTAAATCAAACAATCTTTTTGTTATAGGTTGGCGAGGGTGGCATCATTTTGCTACCAGGGGCTTCGTTGGACGAATCCATCACCGATGACGACGACGAATGGATGCTTAGTTTAGAAGGCCCTCCTAGTCCTTGCGATGTTGTGTTCATTAACGATAATGTACTCATTGATGGTCGCTCTAGTCTTAATCAAAAAAGTAAAAAATTAAAGGTAAGCACTTTCAATTTTTCACAGTAACGAATGACAGATTTACGAGGAGAAAGTTCTAATATTTTACAAAGTTCAGTTTGTACAAAGAAGAAAAAGCATTGTTAAATGATGCATGTAGCTCCACAATTTAATACTTAACTAATAACTACGTTAGAAAGTGGATTAAATGTGTCATAAAAACAATTTTTTATGGTGTTATTGTTACATAAAGGCGTTTTGATTTTAATAGAATATTGACACTAATTTAGACATCAAAACACTTGGGCTCAGTCGTTCTCCACATTCCCATTAATTTGATTTTAAATTAATACAGATGTAAATTGAATTAAATTATCATTTATCGTGTTAAATAAATTAGTGTTTATGTTCAAATTTATACTAACAAGCGGCCGCGTTTAATTAAATTTTAATAAAAATTAGAACAATTGTTTAATTCTTACTTTAAATTTAATTCTGTTTTATTAATATTGACATCATGAACTGGTTAACCTTATTTTGGTTAGTTTGATCGCCATTGAAAGAATCATGTGAAATCTGTAAGCATGACCATTTTTGACAGTAAATAATTCTCAACTATTTTAAAGGCATCGGTTCTTTGGATACGTAAATGGTATGTTTAGAGAAACCGAAGTACAGTTTTGGTTTATTACCGCATTTTTAAGATTCACGTCTACGCCTGCGATTATGTAAGCGGCATTCTCGTTAAAATGTAATTACCGTAAATGTTTCAGCACGAAAGAGAAGAAGAAATCTCTATCGCAACTATTTGTTCAGAGCGTATTATTGTTCTAATTCTTTCAATATTAAATACATATTAACCTCATTAACGTTTTGTCTCCATGTTTAAAATTTAAATGACATCCGCGTGCCATTATCATGAATGCTATTGGGAGCATTCATTTGATAACAAATATCATTCAGTCAATTGGAATGCAGGGCTTAGATCCTGCATGTCACCCCAAAAATATAAGAATTTTAAGTTCAGTCACTATTGATTCTTGGCTGACAGACAAGTTCAGTTATATTTTTTCATTTATCTCCATGAGGCGCTTTTAAGAGATAAACAACAAATAAATTTAACAGCGATTGGATGTGAAATCAAAAATGAACGTAAAAAATAAAGTTCTGGGAGAACATGAATTCCGCAAATGGAATGTAGCGAAAAAGCGAAAGAAAGTTCTAAATGTTTTATTAATTCGAAAATGAAAGGAAAAACGATGAAAACTTAAAACCAAATTACGATTTTTCGCACATCGAAATGGAAACTCCCTTTTTTATAAAATTTACGAATTGAAAAGGCGAAGTTGCTTCCAAATTGAACTTAGATTACTAATCCAACGGACGCGGAGACTTCCTACATGTACCTCATGAAATAGGCTGAACAAGTTTAGTTTCCGGTTAACCGCAAGCGTACAGAACTAAAGTGTGAAGACAGTTTACCTCAAACCGGATCTTCGGATAACCCCAGTGTACAACAGCCCCTACAAGGGCTGACAAACCGTTTTTCGGCACTATACAATTTTATTTGTAAAAATATTTCTACGTTTTTGTTTTTCTAAGCACTTACTTAAGGATGTTAGAATTTGAGAGTTTAGGACTTTGAATGAAGCAAAAATGTTAAATACGCGCGTTTTATTTATCGTTAAACTTTTAGTACATCAAAAATTTACCCGAATTAAGTTACTAATAGTAACAAAATATTGTTAGTAAAACGTAAACTACGAACGAGTACAAGCATTTTTGTTTCTCAATTTTTACAACTTGACAAATCTGTATAGACTGTGCTAAAAAAATAAATATGTTTCAGGTTAAAAATAGGGATGACTTATTGCTATGGTTATAAAAACAGTCACTGTATTACCAATGGAAAATATGATAAGGTTTATGTTTTAAAATTACGAAATTTTAAGAAAATCCTCCTTTAGGTACAACATTGGGATAAAATTAATCAAAAATTGTAGTGATGAATAAAATAAACATAAATATAGTTACAAATCTACGAGAAAATTCGCAATGCATACCTATAAATTGTCATGTAACAACAAATTTTCTTAAAAATCATGTGATTAGTACTCTGAAAACACTAAGGATTACATTTTTATGTGCCTCTCCAGGGTTGTGAATTTCCCTTTCAAATAGAGTAACCTGCATCAATATAGACAACGATAGTCACTTCCGGTTGACGAATATTGACCAAAATTTAATCAATTGACCTTGACCATTGTCTAACTATTGCTAAAAACAGACTTGGAAAATTCGAATCCGTTAGTGAGTGATCGTGTCCACAGACGGACGGACGGACAGAAAGTCGAAAATGTGCAAAGCATCATTAGCCCTTCCCCAACGGGCGAGGTAGCTTAAAGACAGTTGCCCGAACTCACCACGGGGAGGTGTTTGCCTAATGAGCCCCTCCATATGAAGAATCTTTTGTATACATCATTTTTTGATGTCCCTGCTAGTTTCCGCAATAAGCGACTGTCTTAAAATAAATGAAATACTCTGTATATAAATTAATTAAGTAACATGATATATAAGATTACGAAACTGGTGATCGCAAAGTTTATTGCAACTCACAGAAGAAATGACCGCTACATCCCAATTTGTCCCGCTTAGGCAGGCGCAGTTAAACCCCAATAAAGAATCTCCTGAAACTGGTCTTTTCTAAGCAAAAATGTTTGGTTTAAAAGTATCGTATATAACCCACTATTTATTATTATTCTTTTCCGAATTCTAGCTCTTTGTTATACTTGGACAAAAAAGAAAGAAATTTATACATGTTTCACTCTGTATGTATCAACGACATTCTAATGAAATCGGGTAACTAGTGGACCCATTCACACACTTCGTCGTCCGTTACGAATCGTTGTCCGCGAACAGGGGTAGAAAACAGTTCCTTTTGTTGAAACCTTTAAAATTACAATACCATGAAGGATAAAATCAAAATGTTACTACGGTAACACGTTGAGGCGAGCAACTACTGATTTTCATTGGGATGTAATTCATTATGGCACCCACCCGCACACGCTTTCCCATAAATAGCAAAATTTCTTTGTTGTTAAAAGATCGCATGGCACGAGGTCAAGCGTCTTTATCTCGGCGTGTACAGTTAATAACCCCAACCCAGCAACGTTTAAATATTATTGTGGAGGACGAATTTAGGTTATGATGATTAGAATTTGACTTACGGATCCGAAAATGAAAGATTAAGTGCGAGGTTAATGAAAAACAGTTTTTATCAATCGTCTGATCGCACAAATTCCAAAGGAAATTAGGATATGTTAGAAGAAATTGATTATATTGCATAGGGTTGATAAATGATAATAATTGTTACGTTAGAGGGAAAGTGTATTTGGTTCTTGTACAGGGTGGTTCAAATTCGTGGCTCACCAGTCACCATTGGGATCCCACTACCGGTGGTAGATACAGTGTAGGTTCATGGGGACAAAGTTGCCCCTTTTTGTCACTAAAAACAAATCTAAATTTTTGAAAAATCTTTGCAAATAACGGAGATATCACCGAAAAACTGAAAATGTCAAATTTTGTTTTCATCTTCCCTAGCTGAATACGGCGGAAAATAGACGGTTCCCGGTAGCACCTTCTATGGCCAAAATCGTTTTTCAGTCGAGAAAAGAAGCACAACTTTGCCCCCGTTTAACCTACATTATATCTCTCACCGATACGGAGATCCCAATGGTGACGAATTTTAACCACCTTGTACAGAATAAAGTTAAAAATCTTGCAATAATTAAAAATAATGTAATAATCGAGGTAATAATTAATAAACATTAAGATCTAATGGGAAAGGCAAGTCCAATTTTTCAATGTTATTCCGAGGTATTTTTCCAGTTCGATAATTAGACACATTAAAAGGAAATGTAAGGAATTTACAATTTCTAAGGAACCGTCGCACAATTTTTTTAGGCATACTGGTAAGGATTTTGTTGTAATATATTAATATTAACGAGCGACAAAAAGCGAGTTTATGATTTTGGACTTTCTGTCCGTCCGTCCGTCTGTGGTCACGATAACTCACTAAAGGTTTCGAATTTTCCAATTCTGTTTTGAGCAATAGGTCGACAATGGTCCTGGGACTAAGTGATAAAATGTTGGTCAATATTCGTCAACCGGAAGTGACTTTGTCGCTCGTTGTGTATATTGGTGCAGATTATTGATGTATGTATCATATCATATATCATATGGTAGTTCATGTAGGGAGGTATTCAGTCAGGGGACACATTTTCAATTGAATTCTAACTAGCCCTAAAACGTCCACATTTTTCTTTAAAAAACAAAATGCTAAAAATCTGCTTCAATATCTCGGGGTTTGCTCCCCATTTAGATGGTATTAAAAATGTTTTTCCGGCTACTGTTTCACTACATTGCAGAATCGCGGAAAGAACCTTGATTATTGCATGATTAATTGATAACATATGGCTAAAATTGTACACGACGTAAAAAACAATAATATTTACTCTGCTTACATAACAATTTGTATTTATCAATTTAAATTGCGGCGCAAGTTAATTAAGTCATTAATTCTTTAAAAAAAACCAGCTATGTTTACTCTACTCGACATAAAAGTTTAACTTTTTTTGTAAAGTTATATCATCCATTACACGGTTGCAAAACCGAATAATAATAATAGGGCAATAAATATTGTGTGCGGAAGTATAGACGTTTATCTATTGACTCATATAAAAAATTGCTTGCTGTACGATAATGAATTGATTTCATTACCGCAAACAATAACTGAAAAAATGTTGATAAGTACAAAACCGTTAGGTTATTAATTTTTAGGAATAGGTCAACGATCTTAGTTATTATCTTCTTCTTGTCGGTGGTTTTATAAGTACACGATGTTTTTGTTTCATGTGAATTTGGCCCAAATATTTCTTACACATTATGCAATTTTGATCATTTGCCGGAAATTACTATCATTCATAAACCCTTTGAAGTGCTCATCTAATAAAATTTAATATTTAGAAATATTATACTATACC